GTAGGGCTAAACTTCATTTTTCAAGGACAGCATGTGCTATGTTCCATTTCTAAACTGCCTTCTTGAATTTCCTCTGATTTAACACAGGAAAAATTATAGATTGAGTTTTTAGCTTAAGAGATCATACAGACACAGTGCTATGGGTGACAAAGTGCCCTATGGGCTATAGCAGAGCTAACTGAAGTGAGAGAGTTATGTTGAGTAAAACTGGGGCAGAATTTGCTCAAGGTTTGCTGCAGAAAGCTGCATGGTGCTTTGTTGGCTGAGCAGCCATAGATGGGTTCAGAGTAGCTTTCCAGAGCAAAAGATGGGGATGGCTGAAAAATCTGACTTGCAGCAAACACAAGATTTCTCCCGTTTCCTGTTAGGAAAGAGTTCTAGCTGCTATGTTCTTGGTCTGGAAAGAGTTAGGAGCAGGTGCACTTACTCTTAATAAAGACATTTTGGTCTGAATTTGGCATGACTACTTAGACCTCTTAAACTACCGTATGACACGGTTTCATGACAGGTCATAAAAAAAGGAGAGATGCAAAACTGCAAACAGAAAAACTATTGCTCATAGTCTCAGCCTACAAGCAGAGCTGGAAAGATTTACACAGAGAGGTTGGAGAATGGATACCATAAGTTTGTCTTTACACTGCCAGGGAATTTCCTTGAAATAGGGGGATTCATTCCCAGATTCCCCTGAGCAAAATATGACATCTGGAGCAGCCCAAGCATCTGCTTACTATCCTTTCATATTAACTCAAGCTAAAAAAATAGGTTGTTATACTGTCAAACACTATTAATATTCTGTAGTTGTGCATTTTGTTGCTTTTAGGAGAGTAGCATATTTTTTTCTGAAATATTTTGCACAGTATTTAGCAAAGTACCCTCAATCAGTGCAGACATGATTCTGGGCTCCCATCTGTTTTACACCAGTGTAATTTCAATTACTTCAGCACAGGCAGTCAGTTTTATACAAAATTAGCAAACATATAAATATAAATTTATAAATACATATAAATATACCAAATTAATGAGATCCAAGTCTTGTGTCTCACCAT